TCCTGTCTGAATTTCTGAGGTGAGGAGTAATTATTTACATGCGGACTACTGTCCTTATCTTTGAGTACTTTTGACTGCTGTTGTTTTGTTATCACAACGTTTCGGCCGTTGTGCTCTGTGATCTTCATCAGACATTCGACATACACCTGATGAAAGCTAGTCCACATGTAAATTATTATAAACAATCCATAAAAGGAGGGACATTTTTTTTTTTTTTTTTAAATGAAAAGTAAAATTTTAATTTTAGAAATAAAACAAAAATTTGATGCCAGTTTGTTAAAAAAATAGCAGTGGAAATGATTGAATTGAAGTGGCAAGCATATTGGTAACAAATTTGTATTTTTTTTTTTTTTTAATTTCAATAAGTAAAAATATGTTTTTCAATAAACTACTAACTTGTACAGAGTTTTTGTATTCATAAATTGTTTCAGGGAATTATTTCGGCAAATGTTACGATATAACAAAATACAGAGATGAGTATATGACTAATTCAGAATATACAAAGAAAGCTGATGGTAACCGAGAATGAAGTAAAAAAACATCGAGCTTAATTTCAAATCAATACAAACAAAAAAAAAAAAAAAAAAGTTTTCATGAAAGTTGGAAAGAAAAAGTGCTTTGTAATAATTTTCTAATGCAAAATGAAAAATGTAGGAAATTGTAATCAACAACATAAAAAAATAGGTCCTAGGATAATGAAGTTTTGTTTTTAAACGGTTTTTGGTGAATTACTGAAGGAAGATTAGAAAGTAAATTATATAATTCAACTCATAAGAGTAAGAACATTGAAACACGACACCAGGAATTGGTAATTACTGAATAATAATAATAATAATAATAATAATAATAGACGGAGTGAAACAAAACGGGCCATAAAAAGTTAAAGTTTCAGCTGTTTCTCTATGAATCTGTTCCATTCAGACACGATTAAAAAAAATATTAGGCAATAAAAGTATGTCATAATTATTACTCCATTAATTACTGCACTGAATTAAAAACGGATAAGTGCTTCGAGGCTCCGTCAAATCATATTCTTCAGTTTTACGTTGTCATTTAATTGAAATAATTTGGGGAACAAAGTATGAGAATTATTTTCCAATGTAGCCACTTCTAAAGGTGGGTTAATTTTAGAATAAATCTAGCTAGATTAGTGTTTTTTTTTTTTTTTTTTTTGTTTTTTTTTAAAACACGTGTGTGACTGTATGGTAACAAAAAATTTTTAAAAACAGAACTTTCAGAAGACGAAAAACTAAGAAAAAGATCTCTTTATCAGCAAGTCTAGGCAGGGCTTAAAAATGTTTCTCAGAATAGATGATTGACACAAAAAAGACTTGATGCTTCCTTAAAAAAAAAAAAAAAATAAATTCAGCTCTATATACTTACAAAGAAAAAGGAAAACATCACCTGATTTTAAACAAAATGTTTCGAAAAAAAAAAAAAAAAATAAAAAATAAAAAAACAACACTATTTGAATCAGGTTTCTTCTTTTTTCTATTCTTTCAAAGGGAAACCGGAACGAGGAAAAATGCAGTGTTAGGAGGAGGAAGTCAAATGAATGATGGATTTTTTTTGTGCGAGTGTCTCTCTAATCTTTTTATATACCCCCAGCTGGAAATATTTTTGCTTTGTGCACTCTTACCCGTGTCGAGAAACGTGAAAGAACAGACAAACCAAAAACCGTAATTTCTTTGCTGTTATTGAAGAAGAAAAAAAATTACACGTACACGCCTATGTGATATTTAAAAAAAAATCGGTTGCAAACAAATTTTTAATTTTTGCATGGGTTAATTAAAGTTTCATTCATAAAAAAAAAAATAAAAAAAAATAAGAGGATTAAATTAAAATCGATCCGATGTAATTAATTGATCGATAATCAACATAATATGCGCTTACTAGCTAGTTAGTTATGTGCGTGATAGGGTAACATTTTTAGGGCAAATTGACATCTCATTTTTTAAAAAGTCAAATCCTCCAGCTGTTAATCTGGTTATAAGTGGATTTTTGACACTTTGCCAATAATAATAATAAAAAAACTAAATAGTATTCAGACGTTTGGTATGCAAAATAAACGTAGTCGTGTTGCCAACTTGAGTGAACAAAAAAAAATAAAAACATAATTGAACGAAGTGTTAGACTTGAACAAAAATGTGTAGACTAGAAAAATAACTAGTTTGTTAACTAACAGTACAAAAAAAAAAAAAAAAAAAAGTGGCCAGAGTTTTTATACAGAAAAAGATTATAAAGAATTAAAAATAGCATCGGTTATTTACCCTCCAACACGCACACTTTTTTTTTTTACTAATTTACTATTTTCAAGACAGACAAGAAATTAACGAAAAGGGGGACAGAGGGGGGCAAATATTATTGTTGCTTTAAAATTAAAAATCAGCCAAAATAAAAAAAAAAAAATTATCCACTTGAAGATAAGTTTCACAGTCAATTATCAAATTTATTTAATGCCACTTTTTTTCCCCTAGAAAGCAAATAAATTAAAATGTTTATATTGCATTATCGGAAAGGTTTTTGTTTTTTTTTTTAGTTATAAATCAATAGGATTTTTTATATGGATAATTAAATGCCCTCATTTCAGCAATAAACGATAGATTTTGAAGAATTTTAAACCAGTAAAAGCATAAAAATCCTTCCATATGCAGTATTTCACAGGATGTAAGTCATTTTAAGATGAAAACTAGTTCTACATCGTCTGGGGGAGATAGAGAGAGAGGGGGGGAAATAAACATGAAGACAGAAAAATAAGGGTCCCGACTACAGACGGAATATTTACAACAACAAAAAAAAAAAAAATATTTATAATAAATAAAAGATGAATCATTCAAAATTTGTAAATATATTTAAAGAGAAATAATTACAAAAAAAAAAAAAAAAAAAGCTTAAAAATGGAATTATCATAAAATCCCAAACCGCTATCATTAATTATAAATAATTTATAAATCGCTTAGAAAAAAAAAAAGGGGGGGCAATTTTTATATTCAGTTTTTAAAATGATGACTTGTTAGTTAAGGTTTCCAAAAATAACTAAACACATTAGTTTTTTTTTTTTTTTTTATTATTCTAGACTTAGAAATACAAATTTATAGAGGAAATTTTTTTTTTGGAATATTAGTGTTTTTAGTTTAATCAACACTGACTAAACTTCACATATCTGTTAAAATTTCAAGTGGAATTGTAAATATTATTTATTAATTTTTCTTTTACATCTTTTTAATTATTCTCCCTAATCTTCATATTGAGATGTTAATTAATAAAAAAAAAATAATACTTTTTTTAAAAAACGTTTTTGAGTTTGTACAGAAAGAATTAAATTTATCACCAGTAAATTTCGAGAACATTAAGTAAAAGTTATTAACTAAAAATAAATTAATAAAATAAAAATAGTGAAATACAAGTCATCACTAGAGTACAGTGAATAAAAGCGCGTTCAGTCATGTGATCAACTTATCGTAATCAGCACCGAATACAAGTACGGGAAATGCCTTATTTTGACGACTTTTTAATGGGGTTTTTCCGCACTTACCGAAATTTATCTATTTTAAATATTAATTTTGCTATATATAAATATATTTTTTTTTTTTTTTTTAAGAAGACTTTAAAAGATATATATAAATTTGATAAATAAAATAATATAACTACCTGGAAGTTTTTTTTTTTTTTTAAATAAAAAAAAAAAAAATTCTTTTGCTTGCTTAACAAAATCACACAAAGTATTTTTTAATAATTACTTAAAGAAAAAAAAGTGTAAGGAAGAATTATTTAAAATTTGTGATAGTGAATTCTGTTTAAAAAGGATATTATAAAAATATTTCGAAATTTATCACAATAAATGCGAATGTGTTACTGTAAAAAAGACAATACGACATAAAAATGTACATCACTGAGGTTTCATTGTTTACAGGAAAATGGCAATTAAAATACATTTAACTGTTTAAAATAGTTCGAGATAATAAAAAAAATAATTTAAGATATTTTTCTACACTTTATCTAGAACGAAAATAAAAATAAGATAAAAAAAAAAAAATACGTAACGGAGCAAAAAGGGTTTTTTTTGTGAATCAAATTTTCTAATTTATTTGTAAAAAATAAACAATATTAAAAAGAAAAGACTGGATTTAAAAGTAAAAAAAATAAGATTCAGATGTAGAAGTTTCAAACAATTTAAAAAAAAAAAAAAAAAAAAAATACAAATGGTTAGAAATTGAGAGGAAAATAAAATAAAAATTATCTGACCGGATTTCGTGGATATAATTTTTAGTAAATCAATTTTTATAAAATGAACTTAATTTATTTACTTTAAATATTTTAAAATGAATTAAACACGGTCTGGTGTAAATAAATAATTAAATTAAATACAGGTGTTATTTTTTTCTGTCTTTCTCTCTAACTTTACATATATTCGATTGAGACTTGATTGATCGTTTTACTTTTAATTATTTAACAGAACTGGACCTTAAACATTTTTAACACTTATTTCTTGTATATATTATTTACCTTCATGAATGTATTTATACTTTGAGCCCTTCTGATGTTAATAAATGAATAAGAAGAAGCTAGAACCTCCAACAAATTTAAGTAGACGACAGACATCTCGATCTGAGTACTGTATTTTAATTTATCTATGCATAGTTAGTATAATAATATATCTATCTGTCTGTCTCTTGGTTCTTTCTTCCGACCACTGTCTGTTTCTTTCTTTCTTTCAATAATAGTTCACTTCAGACATTCACTTCATGACAGACTAAGACGAAAGAAAAGAGAAACACTAATACTACTACTTTTAAAATCAAATACACATTAGCGCAAAAAAAGAAAACTGTACAAAAAAAGAAAAAAAAAAGAAAATAGTGACTCGATATGGCTTTTTCCCAGTAATCCAACGTCATATTATCCCGGTAGTGTAAAATCCGAGCACTATAAAAACAAAAACAAACAGTTTGACGGTAAAATAACATCTCCATTCGCACACAAAAGATAAAAATCCGAACCTGCTCAACACAGTGGCGTCCATGAACTTAACCTACTTTTGTACGCATGCGCACCTTGAGTGTCGCTAGGTGCTTTGAGCATGGCGCGCAAGTCCGCCCAGAAAAAAAAGACGGGTACTTAACAAGGGTAGAGAAAAAAAAATCTATTTATTCGCTTGATTATTCTCCAGTTGTTTATTTTCAGCGCTGATACGAAATCATGCTACTAGCTTCAGGCTTTTAGATTAATCATAAACTGATATAACTTAAGTTCTGGGAGGTATTCATCATGTGATTTTTTTTAACACTTCAGTAGTTGAAACTTGGATTATTATTATTAATAATTATATTGCAAAAAAAACACATCGCTTTAAAAAAGAAAAAAAAGGTTGACTATGAATAGAAAACACTAGAAAACTAACTGACTAGTTTTATCTAAATTGTGCAATTTTTTTTTTTTTTTTAATCTGGGGTTAATTTTTTAATTCTGTGTACGCACACACACATACACACACTCTCACTCTTTCTTTCTCTTTTTTTATGATCCACAATTTGTTTTCCACCCCATAAATCTGTTTTTCTATACTTTTAAAAAGTTCAAAACTTGATGGAGCAGAGAACTTAACCGGTGATTTTTTTTTTATCAACCTCTTCCACAATTTCTTTTACACGGAAAAAAAGAGGTGATACTGATATGCCTGTTTTATATTTTTTTCTTTTACTTTTTTTTTTCTTTTTGAAAGGGTTAACGCACTTTGTTTCGAAATTACTTGCATGATTTTTCTTCCGTGTTTGTTTTGTTTTTTTTTTTCTCTTTTTTTTTTTTTTTTTTTTTTGCGGGGGTGGCTACGTGAGTGCTGTTATTTCTTATTCATCAACCACTCCGTTATAATACAGAATAAGTAAAGTAAAGATGAACATCTCATTGGTTGTTAGATGCTGTACTTGATTAGTGCTTTTAGCGTCATATCCGGAATCAAGTTACTTAACTGCACTCCCTCTTCTTACAACAATTTCTTTACTTTCTTTTTTTTCTTCTTTTTTTTTTTAAGAAAAAAAAATGCATTATTTTTTTCCCTCAGTTAAGTAGGCATTCCTTCACAGCAGACAATTACTTGCATAATTTTAATAATTTTTTACTTTGGATAACAACTGACTTTTTCCCCCAGCCACCCCATAAAAAGTATCTCAGCTCAATACGAGTCTGTCGTTATCACCGGTGAAGTAATACACAGGGTGTGGCTCACGGAGGAGGAGGCGATGATGATGATGATGAAAAGTGTCTGATGATAATTTAAACGACACTTTGTGTGAGGGTGGCACATACGATTGCAAGATCCTTGTGTTGAGAGAGAAAGAAAGAGAGAGAAATTAATTACTTAAATACTGAAATTGACCTCACTCGTTAAAAAAATCCAACTCTATGTTCACTCTGACCACTTGAGCCAAACATGCTTTGAGGAGGACAAAATTGATTTTATTTTTAAAACTATCATGCTTTGAATACGCTACTCAGAGCAATAAATGGATTTATTCACGACACAAAAAAACTGTTGGTCAATGAAAGAAAGAAAGAAATTGAAAATCTGACTGACCATGATATCTTTTTTTTTTCTTTTTCTTTGTTTTCTTTTGTATTTGCTTGAAACAAATTCTGTTTCAGTTTTATAAAATCAATCTTTGATGTGGGTAGATATAAAAAAAAAGTAATACCATAAATTTGGCAATCTATAATTAATTTGCTTTTGTTGTTTTTGTTTTTTTTTAAATCTGTTTATTTATTAGACAAGTGAAGGTCTGCTTCGACTTATTTTTTTAATGCATTTATTTATTCTTCTTATCGCCATGCAATACACAATGAAATTGGACAGAAGACCCGGGAGCGCGCACACGCACATTACGCACACTATTGAATGAAAATTAACAAGGTTAAAAAAAAAATACGCGGAAAATTGGCAGCGTGCGGCAGCGTTCAATTTTACACAGGTCCCAAGATTAAAAGCTGTCCTTCGAGTGTTTTAGAACGAATAGATTTCAAACGTCGTCCTGATGGTTAAGGTTCAAACAAGTGCTAACTGGGATGCGTGCTGTCTTTCATTATGCTCTGCTGTGACAACGAGAATTAAAAATATCATCCAAGGATCGAAGCTAGCAGCCGACTATTTTCTGGGCAACATCTTGAAACCCTTTCTGGGGATCTCTTGTCCACTGTTGAGCAGCAGACATGCCAAACACAAATAGTTGATGCATTTACGCCATTACACTCCCAATTAAGCGGCGCTAGTTCATCAGAAACTCCCTTTGTAAATTTGCTACAAACATTCAGAGAAACGAATGTTAAGTAGCTGTTTAAACCCGTGCGGTCACGCGTATAATTAACTAAAGAAATTTAATAAATAAACATTTCATTTACTTTAATAATTACACAGCACATTTTGGCAGCAGTAATGAGAAACGATGTGACATCTTCCATGGGCTCAATGCCTGTTAATGTCAATAACATTCCGGATAATCCCCCTCCAATAACATTATCCATGTTGTGGTAAATACAACAGCATGGATAATGGGTACTAATGTCATCACTAATAACAGCATGGATACTAATGTCATAGCGTCGTGGTTACCAGATAATGGGTGAGTTATAGAGGAAAGAATATTCTCCCATTCTATTTTCCCCATTATGGGCATTATCATATCCTTGAACGCCTTATTTCACGGACAAATTGTAAAAGCTGAAAGAAAAGAAATGACAATCGTGCTTTCTTCTCAGAGAGAGTTTTATACTGCTAAATCATACATAAAAATTATATATATATATATATAACATGTATGCAACAACAAGCAGGATGAAAAGAGAATGAAAAATAGAGTCTTACGTATAATAATTCTCAACGGGAATTGGAGCTGCCTGAGAATCTTTTATGTTTATGGAGAAGCCATATTTAGGATTCCAGATTCGTGCGTGCCGGATTTATCCGATATGTCGTTAGCGAGGATATATCCCGCAAACGGGAAACGGAGTCCTGGGTTTTTCCCAAATTGTGGACTGGTGAAGACATATTTCTATAGGAAAATAGTGCCATATGTTTGTAAGCTGCTCAACGTGGCTGGGGTAGGCAGATTTAGCCTGAGCCAGTGCTAAAACAACAAAAAAAGCAATTGCTCGGTTTGACACTTGGAAGCTGACCCATGAGATTTCATGTCGACCAAAGGGAGATAATCGTTTTCGTATCCCTACATGTTTTTGCTTTACAGACATATTATCTGCATTCTATGTCTAATCGTCTTTGTACCGCTTCTGCTGACTGTGTACTGAATTTAGTATTGTCTTTCTCCTAGACTGGTTGTCAACCATGGCTAGAGATCCTAGTCTATCCTGCCATTTAATCCATAGTTACAGGAAGAAGAAATGGGTTCTTACCGTTCCCCAAAATTTATATATCAAGTTAAACGTTGTACCATGCTGGACGACTCTGTGTAAAAGACAAATGACAAAACGTATTGCGTGCTTATCTGTAGCAACCCATGACGTGATTAACTCTTACTGCTGGCGGTCACTACGCTTTATTGAAAAATGATTCGTCTATATAAATAGTTACAAGGGAATTAACTCCGTATTTATTAATAGCTCACATCCCCCTTCTCAAGATATGGGAATTATAATGTTCTAAAAGGATTTTTCCCTGTGAGGGAATGGGAAAACAGAGAACGTCAACTCTCTTATCGCGAATATTATAAAAGGCGCACACAGTAACAAACAAGATTCGAAACTTATGTGAAATTTGGAAGAAACAAATATTTATTACAATGACATGAAATAATATAATAAAATACAATTTTTACAAAAAAGCTCGTGCAAAAATTTCTTTTGCGCGCCTTCTTAAGAATAAGGCAAGATAACAGATCATAAATATTGAAATTATAGGCCTTTAAAATACAATACAATCTTCAAATCATGGGAAAAACCTTGAGAACGTAATACAAAAACATTAAATAAGTTTGAAAATACTCTTTGCAAAAAAGTGTGCACCCACCTAATAGAAAGACGTAAAAAAAGACAGCTTGGCGAAATTCGCGTGTATTAGTGGGATTTTTAACAATATTTTTAAAATTTCTTTCAGTTTTCCTTCTACGCTTTTTCAACTTCCTTTTCGTTGTCGGTGACGACGCGACCAGCTTTTAGTTTTTCTTTGTTCTTCCTTTTCATCGACGTAGAAGTAGTCACCGGCGTTCTTGTGAATGCCGAAACCTTTCAGCATTTTGCTCTTCTAGCGACTTTTGCATATGAATGCCACAATCCCTTTCGCGCTCCTCTATCCAGCATCTTGCAGATCACCTTCACATGTGAAATCCAAGTTCCTTCTTTTCATTATCTGCTCACCCGTCTTCTTATATATCCTCGAAAGAGGCTCACACGGATCTCAACTTTAAATTTATGAGGGTGGAAGCTACACGTTTGATTGGACAATAAATATAAAGAGTACATATTTTTCAAATTGGAAAAATGAATCACCACAAGTCCGCCATGACCGTTATTGCTGGCCGTTCATTTAGAGCCAATTCTTAATATAGAAACATTTTACAGACAAATGTAGCACATCAAATATAATTTTTATAAACCGCCCGGCTTTCTTTCAAAAACACTTCTAAAAAGTAAGTATATAAGACAAACTTAAACCATTATAAGATTTATTTATTGTATTTACACTTTTTTATTAATTATTTTTATTATTACATATTACTAATAAAAATATAGTTCATTATTGACAAATAAAAAATATTTATATAGTCAATGTAACTATGACGTCTGAACGATTGCAATGGCAAACTACCCTGATGCTTCCAGAATTGGCATTATTGTGGGAGTGCGAATGACATGAGGTCTTGTTGTTGGTTTTATTATTTTTTATCTGAGATTATATCATCTGGTCATAATATGTTAAATTAATATCACAATATTACATGGAAACGTGAAATAAAATATAAACAGTTTTGGTGTGCATATAACAAGATATAGCATATTTATTAAATGACTGTTTTTTGA